AGTTGAATAACAGAAGCGGGAGAAATGTTTGTGAGATCATAATAAATGAGTCACCGGAGATAGAATTTGAAAGAAAATCTGCCAAGTGTGAAATACCTCGGTATACATTAAGGCTCTTCGATTGCGGGTAATGCGGTACCGGCGGGGTAAGCGCCTTGGTAGGAGGGGAGGACCTACGACTTGCACTGCGGGTGACAGCACATGCAGGAAAGAGATCGGGATACTCCTCTCTAAATCTACGGTGTTGTTCTCCTCTGTCGGGCAAGGTGAAACTACAGGGCAAGGCCATACCTTATCACCAACTAGATCATTGCCCATAAGGAGCGAAATGCCATCACTTGGTATATTATCAACAACACCTAAATTTACGTACCCAGTTATCAATTTAGATTCAAGGTAGACTTTACATATGGGTATACTCTTGGACCCTACCAGTCCATTAATAATAATCATCTCTCCAGTATAGCAGTCAGGGTTAGGAACCATCTCCTTGAGTACCAATGATATATCTGCAGCCGAGTCCCGTAGAATAGTGACTGGGGAAGACGACTTACACGACTCATCGACACTAAGAAATCCTGTGGAACAAAATGGTCTAAATGAAGGTGTCACAACTTTAGATTCAGTAATGGAAAAGGGAAAAGGCCACGTTTCACAAGGATATTTCGATGTAACCTTTGTCGTCTTATTAGCACTGACATGAAAGATACGTTTGTTATTATCAGAACGCTTATTTGTCAATCTAAAACAGTCATTTATGGCATGACCATATTTCTGCAATAACGGCAAAAAGAAAAATTCTCACCGCGAGAAGCAACCTTCTTACTCTCATCACCACCTGTTTCTGACTTTGTATGAACAGTCCTGTGGGTATCTGGCAGTCCAGTCCCTGGAACTATACTCCATCCTCTTACCATTATGCTGGATAGACTGGAATGAAGGCTCATTAGATCTGCAAGAGTAGTTGGGATTAGTGAGAGCGAAATGATCGGCGGCTTTGCCGACCTCGGCTAATGTGCGCAGACCACGTTCGTCAATGTGAGAGCGAACTTTTACAGGCATACTTTTCTTAACTTCCTCTAGTACAAAGAGCTCGAGTAATTTATCGTACTCGAGTGCATCAAGTTCACTCTCGACCCATTTCTTACACAAAAGTTGCTTTTGGCGAATAAATTCAACAAAGGTTTGTTTGCTATCTTTACGATAATAACGGAAATCTTGTCTGTAAGCCTCTGGTACCCTTTTATAAACATTTAAAACAGCTTGTTTTACTACATAATAACATTGTGACTGTACCAAATCCAGAGCTGAGAAACCTCTTGAGCTCTGCCAACAAATGCACTGTGAACAAGCAATACCCACTTATCTTCGGGCCAACCATGCAAGGCAGCAACTCGCTCAAAATGAATGAAAAAGTACTCAGGCTCTGTCTCATTGAATTTAGGAACAAATTTAATTGCATCCTCTATACGAAAATGAGGATGGTGTTCCCTATCAGGTCTCTGCATGAGACGCATCCGCTCATTCTCTGCCTTAAACATTTCCAAATCTATCTTACGGCTCTCCAGGTCATACTGGCGGGCATCGTGACATCCCGAGGACACAAGGGCTCTAAATCCTCCTCACTTAACACCTTGTGTTCTAATAAATACTCGGTCACTAATGTACGAATTTCATCCTTCCGTAAGGATGACCGAAAAGGGATGCAATAATGAGCGGCTAACTCACTCCACTGGGCTTTAGTTAAACCGACCAGCACTTCGGCTGACGGATTTGCAACAAAACTTTCAACGCTGAACATAATGAATCACCGAGAAGAATAGACAGGCGAAAATAAGCTAGCTAGCTAGATAGAAAAAATACGAAATGCGTGAACAATCGCAAAACCTGTACATCAAATCACTAAAACGTACGATTAAAGGCAACCAAGAAACAGCAAAATGCCTAATATGGTCACCAAGCAAAAAACAAGTCAAATATATACAAAGACTATTGTTTACAAAACCAAAGATCACTTAAATGCACTCTGCATGCACAAGAAAGAAGCGACTCGGTGTCTTAATGACCAAAATACACGAGACGTAATGAAGTCAATTGCACGATCACAAAACAACAAAACCAACGGGAACATGTGTTACAACGGCTGAGAAAAAACACGATAAAAGTGCAATACCAAGGGAATCACATGTTACAAATGGCAAACAAAAGTGATTAACAAAATGCGAATTGACAGTTCAAAATCCCGGTCAGGCCCCCACTTGTTACGGCTGGTATGTCACCAAGAGAATTAAGGGGAAGAGCAGCTCCGCTGAACTCGAATTCTCCCAATGCGGAAGCCAAAATCATAGACGCGAAGTCAAATCTGAAGGATATGGCCTGGTATGAACGGCTAAATACCACGTAACAATACCTCGTGCTAAAGTACTAGTGATTGTAAATATTCTTCTGGTTAATTCATTTGTATTAATTTTTTTTCATTCCATTTAAGGCTCATTAATGC